CGCTCGGTCTGAGCTGAGGAAGTTTATTTGTGGTTTGTGTGGAACTGTGATGAGGCCTTTATGTGACACATGCAGCAGTCATGTCCAGGAGGTTGTTTGGATTAAACGTCCAGACGTTGGGTCCGATTAAAACTGAGCCCTGAAACTGTTTCAGTCACACGTGTTTCATCAGGTTTGCTGAATGTAGCTGAAAGAGAGAATAAAAGAGGTGTTTATAAAGGACGCTGGTGCCCTCTAGTGGCTCGAGTTAATAATTACACTCTGATGACACCAGTGCAGCTTCGTTCTGTTCTTTAAAGCTTTTCTGCTTTTATTCATTTTCTCAGCCATAATCACCTTGTTGGTGTCAGTAACAGTGATCTGAAGGCAGATCTGATGATCAGTTTCATGTTGGAGAACTGAAAGAAATACAAACATGTCTTTGCAAAGGTTTGATCAGTTTGATAACAGGGGCGCGGTTAGTTTGCAGTGATTAGATACTGAGTGGAACAGAAGCCGTGATTAACCGATCAATAACAGCTGATTGTTGACTTGCTGATTTTCTGTGTTTAAACTCTGTGTGGATTCGGGTCAGACAAAAACACAACATGTAACGACTCTTTGGCTGTTTCCTGACATTTTTAGACTAATTTCAAAGTGGTCCTGTATATAAAAGATGGATGGAAAGTCCAGATATTACAACCAGGATCTGAGCTCGCAGTCACAGTTAGCCAATGAGCATCATGCATTTCCTCTGGTCCGTTTAGACTCTAATGGAGCCAAAATTGACTAAATGAACTTCATGTTTTCTTCAGTCAGACTTTAAAGCCGTGACTGAGACCAGGAAATAGTTTACTGAGCTCAGAGTCCAGGTGAGCAGCCGGCTCAGTGTCTCACACACTTTTATCCAATCAGATGTAAGGAGTCGCCCCCTGCTGGACATTAGAAACAATTGAAGACACTGATCGCACCAAAACCTGCAGCTGCCGAACAATAAGGCGTGCTGTGCATTAACTGCACTGACAGCCGTCCAACAAGGATTGTGTCACTTTGCACTCATTAGCAGGTATCTGTCCTTGTGATGTGCCCATGCACTGCGTTAATGCATTAATATGGTCACATGAAACAGGCCAGCATGGCTGAATTGTTTCTGAATGTGGACAAACCAGTAGGTGGCGTGGCCGTCTTTTATATACAGTCTGTGGTGTCATCGCCTGCTTCGTCAGCAGATTTGCTGTGACGGGATGACGAAGGAAAACTACGGGGACATCCAAAGAAAAAGGAACATGATTTTGGCTTTGTGTGAGGAGGAGGAGGAGGAAGCCAGAGCAGGAAGACGGGGAGGGTGGAGGGTGGAGGCTGGAGGGGGGTGGGGGTGAGGCTGAGCCGGTTATAGTTGCTGCGTCAGAGCGCTGGCAGCAGACAGTCAGCTGACAGCCAGCGGGAGGGACTTGTTCGCCCGCTGCAGTCACCCCCCCTCAGAGGAAGCC